ACACACTGAAGAAAATGGCCAAACACAAACAAAAATGTAGAACCTTTGTTGCTGCCCTACATGCCAGTGGGCGTAATAGGCATTAACTAACTAACTATCATATCCCCCCCCTTAGTCTCCTCTTTTCTAAGCTGAACAGTCCCAGTCTTTTTAATCTCTCTTCATATGGGACCCATTCCAAACCCCTAATAATTTTTGTTACCCTTTTTTGAACTTTTTCCAATGTCAATATATCTGTTTTGAGATGAGGCAACTACATCTGTAAGCAATATTCAAGATGTGGGCATGCTGTGGATTCATACAGAAACAATAAGATATTCTCTCTCTCTCAAGGTGTGTCTAGACTACAGGTTTTTTTTTTTTTTAAACTGGCCTGTTTTTGAAAAAAAGTCCCCTGCAGTTTTTTCGACCGCGGAAAACCTCGACCGCAGCTTGCTTTTTTGTAAGTACTGGTTGTAGTCTAGACACTCTTTTTCAAAAGAGGCTTGTAGTCTAGACGTAGCCTCATTTGCAATCCTTTTTTAATAATTCTTAACATTCTGTTTGCTTTTTTTGGCTGCTGCTGCACATTGAGTGGATGTTTTCAGAGAACTGTCCACAATGACTCCAAGATCTCTCTCTTGAGTAGTTATAGCTAAATTAGTTCCCATCGTTTTGTATGTGTAGTTGGGAATATTTTTTCCAGTATGCATTATTTTACATTTATTCATTACATTTCATTTGCCATTTTGTTGCCCAATCACTTAATTTTATGAGATCTTTTTGAAGTTCTTCACAGTCTACTTTGGTCTTAACTATCTTGAGAAGTTTAGTATCATCTGCAAATTTTGCCACATTACTGTTTACCCCTTTCTCCAGATCATTTATACATAGGTTGAATACAATTGGTTCCAGTACGGACCCTTGGGGGACACGACTAGATATCTCTCTCTGTTCTGAAAACTTACCATTTATTCCTACTCTTTGTTTCCTGTCTTTTAACCAGGTATCAATCGATGAGAGGACCTTCCCTCTTATCCCATGACAATTAACTTTACTTAAGAGCCTTTGCTGAGGGACTTTGTCAAAGGCTTTCTGGAAATGTAAGTATACTCTATCCACTGGATCCCCCTTGTCCGCATGCTTGTTGACCCCCCTCAAAGAATTCTAGTAGATTGGTGAGGCATAATTTCCTGTTACAGAAACCATGTTGACTTTTGCCCAACAAATGATGTTCTTCTATGTGCCTAACAATTTTATTCTTAATTATTTTCGACTAATTTGCCCGGTATCAGGCAAAAGTAAAGGAAACACCTAGTAAAGTTGGCTCATTTCTATTACAGCACATCAAATGACAGTCACAAGAGCATCTCTGTGAATGAGCCTATCCCATGTAGTAAAAATCCTATTTACTTTGACTGGACTAGGATTTTTCTTGGTTATAAGGAATGTTGCACTTAATGTATACATGGCAGAAGGAAAAACAGAGCTACTCCCAAGAGCTAATTTTTGAAATCTATACTTCTAGAATTTGTCATGCTGGCATTTAAGACTCTCCCTATCAGCCTCAGCCATGAAGACAGAAGCAAAGAATTAATTTAGTTTCTCCACAATGACCTTATCATCTTTGAGTGCTCCTTTAGCATCTCAATCATCCAGGGGCCCCACTGGTTGTTTAGCAGGCTTCCTGCTTCTGATGTACTTAAAACATTTTGCTATTACTTTTTGAGTTTTTGGCAAGTTGTTCTTCAAACTCTTATTTGGCTTTTCTTATTATATTTTTACACTTAATTTGACAGAGTTTATGTTCCTTTCTATTTTCCTCTTTAGTATTTAACTTCCACTTTTTAAACGATGCCTTTTTATCGCTCACTGCTTCTTTTACTTAGTGGTTAACCAGTGGCACTTTTTTTGTTCTCTTACTGTGTTATTTAATTTGGGGCATACATTTAAGTTGGGCCTATATTATGGTGACTTTATAAAGTTTCCATACAGCTTGCAAGGATTTTACTTTTGTCACTGTACCTTTTAATTTCTGTTTAACCTCATTTTTGTGTAGTTCCCCTTTCTGAAATTAAATGCCACAGTGTTGAGCTGCTGAGGTGTTTTCCCCACCACAGGGATGTTACATTTTATTACATTATGGTCACTGTTTCCAAGTGGTCCAGTTATATTTACCCCTTGGACCAGATCCTGGGATCCACTTAGGACTAAATCAAGAATTGCCTCTCCTCTTGTGGGTATCAGTACCAGCTGCTTCAAGAAGCAGTCATTTAAGGAATCAAGATATTTTATCTCTGAGGTGACATGTCCCCAGTCAATACGGGGATAGTTGAAATTTTCCACTATTATAAAGCCCTTCTTGGTATGAGGGTGCCAGAAGCTGAGGGATAGTTGAAATTTTCCACTATTCTAAAGCTCTTCTTGGTATGAGGGTGCCAGAAGCTGGTCCTACAGAATTTCCTGACAATGTACATGAGTAGTATACCAGCCAAGTGAGAGCCTGAAGCAGTTCACTCAGGGGAATGATGGTTGAAAGGTCTATTTTCTGAAGAAACGGACTCTCAGCTAAGAAGGGGGTCCAAATCCAGAATCTTTTATCGGAACTAGTCCTACTCCTGAACTGTGAACTGAAGCCTGCGTCCCACCCAAACACGATTTCACAAAAACAAGGGACAACTGATGAGGTGTGGCAAAATCTAAAATTTCCTTACCAAGAGTATATACATATACTTACCTCTTATATAGAACGGTTTGGCCCAGATCCTGAAAAGTATTTAGGTGCCTAACTCCCACTGATTTTAAACACAATGTATTATTATTTAAAAAAATCATTATTGTAAAGCCACTCTCATTTTTGAGGGCGGAGGCCTGACTTGAATTTTGAACACTTGGTATTGTCAATTTTGTTTTCAATACATTGCTTTTGTGTTTGTTTCTCAAAGCCACTTTACCCAATTTAGACAGTTCTTTAAAAATAAAATGAGCA